GAAGTTGTGAGTTATTAAATAGTGAATTATTGTGACTTATGATGTTACATGAAGTTTTTATTGTTGTTAAGTGCTGTTGAGTCAGTTCTGACTCCTAGTGACCCTGTATAGGATTTCTGAGGAGCGGCTGGTGAGTTTGAACCACTGACTTTGCCTACAGCGCCACACCAGGACTCCTTTCATGAAGGCTAAGTCTTCAGTTGTTTGGTGAGTTTTCATTGGGCACATATCTTGGTACTTTAGACAGCCTGTTGCACGTTTGACTAGCCCACCTAGAATGGTGGCAGTTTCCACACATCCTGCAACATGCATTGCTTTTAGTAAGAGTTGTTGTTAAGTGCCATCGAGTCGATCCCGACCCATAGCGACCCTGTATAGGGTTTCCAAGGAGCAGCTGGTGAGCTCGAACCACCGACCTTGCAGTTCAAATGGCTTTGCAGTCTGGCGCATCAACCCACAGCGCCAGGCCAGGACGCCATAGTAAGAGTGGAGGCAGGTAAAATGAGCAGCAATTGGGTTCCATCAGCAACTTTTCAACTGGACGCAAATTCTGAGTTCCCTCTGGGTCTGACTAGCCTTGGGAGCACTTTCTTGTCCGACTCCACCCCTACACACAATAGCCATCTGGACACACAAAGCCCTTGTGGCTGCCTAACTGGTACAAGGAGAATGGCCACTGGTCAGTTGTCCCTGGGCTTCCTCCAGCTCCCACCGTTACACATTTCTTGACACTGTGTTACTCCTCCGTTAGGGATTTAACATCAGTACATGAAGTGACAGGTGTCTGCTCTCACTGAGCTTACAGTCTATTGGGGGAGGGGGGTGACAGAGAAAAGCACCGGAAGTGCAATCCCCAGAAAGGTGTTCACATGGAGCCCACACCCCTCCTTGCTGCTTCCTGCGGCTCTGGTTTTCAGGCTAGGTCTTTCAAGTTCAGGTCTGCGCAGACCCCGGTTTCCTTTGGCATCCTCAGATCTGATGTCCTCAGAGCTCAGTTCCCTCACATCCAGGTCTCCTCATGTGTCAGTCCCCTCAGGTCCATGTCTCCTTAAGTCTCAACCCCCTCCGGTTCGGATCCCCTCAGGTGTGTATGTATGCCTCCTCAGATTTGGTAGTCTCGGGGGTCAGTCTCGATCTCCTCAAGTGCCGGCCTCCCCACATTCAATTCAGCCAAGCTCTCGGCTAGACCACTGAATCCCATTGCGCTCAGCGTGAACGGCGCCGCTCCTGAGGCCCTCGTAACGCGCTGCTCCCATGACACCCCAGTTTTGGCCCTCTGTGACGCACCCCGAGCGCCCGCCAGTCACTTGATCTCGCTCAGCCTATCAACAGACTCCTGTCGATAATCCTTGGAAAGGCGAGGATTGGCCGAGCGATCTCAGTTCAGCCAATCCGAATGCGCTCCGGCCTCGCGGCCCCGCCTCCTCCGCGCCGGCCGCTCGGCTCCAGTCCGGGGTCGCTGAGCCCTCGGGGATGGCGGCGTGCGCGGAGCGGAAGGGAGATGTGCAGGGCCACGGAGAGGACAGCCCGCCGGAAAGGTGCGCCATGAGGGCGGCCGGCTGGTCACCCTCGGGGAGCAGCAGGGGAAGATCGGATCAGGGTGCCTGCCGCGAGAACGATGGGCTGCGCGGCGCGGCTGGGAGACCCCCACCATCCCCCCCTAGCCCCGAGAGGGGACCTTGGGACTGAACCCCAGGTGACAGCTCTGGGGACAGTGTGGCAGGAGCACCTGCGAAGGTCCGGGTGCTGAAGGAGCCTCCCGAGTACAGGACAGCGGGAGGGACAGCCCACGTGGCCGAGCGATGCCGACCCGATAACCGGATCACCCACCCAGGGACCCTTCCTAGGGGGCCAGGACCATCGGGGTTGAGCTCTGTGGAAAGAGGCTCTGTGCGTGTGGGGACGGCGAGGGCGCAGGCAAAGCAGTTGGTTATTTTGTTATCATCCAGGGTCTCCTGGTGGCAGTGGGGGTGGGGAGACAGGGGTGTATTGCGGACGGATCCCACGGGTTTGTGGAAGCAGTGGGTGTAGGGGTTGTGGTTGAGCCGTCGATTCGGTTCCGACTCATAGCGACCCGGTGTGGAGTTTCCGAGGAGCGGCGGCTGAGCTTGAACTGCTGACCTTGCAGTTCAAACTGACCCTGCAGCCCAGCGCATTAACCCGCAGCGCTGCCCCAGGGCTCTGGTGGAGGGGACACGAGGATTTAGGATGTTCCCCAGAGCAACTGAGACATGAAGAGAGGAGGCCTGGGGTGGCGCAGGGGGATAAACTACGGGACCGCAAGGTCGACGGTTCAAGTTCACCAGCCGCTCCTCCGAAACCCGCTGGAAACCGTATACAGGGTCGCTATGGGTCACAACCGACTCGACGTCACTTAACAACAACATAGAGGGAGGAGTCCTGGTGTGACTGTGGAATAAAGCACTGGACCGCAACGTTGGCGGTTCAAATTCACCAGCTACTCCTTGGAAATCCTCTACAAGGTGAAGATGAGTCAATGGAACTCTAACAGTTATAACAACATAACAGAGAGGAGGCACCGCAGCCTCTAGATAGCGCCTCCTATGGGGGGTGATGGGAAGGTTGTGCCGTTTGGAGTCTGGGAATATTTTTTTCTCTAAGTCAGGAAGAGAGTCAGGTCTAGAATATCAGGTATGTGTATGTTTAAAATTTGGGTCCAGGCCTAGATGGGACCATCTTTCATAGGCTTTTTTTGTTGGAACAGAGGAGATCAGGAGAAATGTCCCCTTATAGAGTGAACGGAGAAGGGATTCCAGTGCCTTTGGTTGATTGATTGATTGGAGACCAACAGAGTTTCATTTTCCCACCTGATTTTGATAGCACTTTAAGGAACTATCATATAGTGGAACAAAATGATCTGTGAAATATTCATCTATAATTCAAACCAGAAATGAGCTCAGCAGTGCAGTCTCTTGAAAAGCTTTCAGTAAACAAATGTGAGTCATGTTAACGCACAGAGAAAGTCACAGTCGGACCGAAAGAAAAGGCCCGAATCACAAAGGATGGCTAGTCCAAGTCTCTTGTACCTATTGGTGGATTTTGAACAACTTACAGAGAAGATGGGGAGCATGGTGGCTCTGTAGGATAAGCACTGCACTACAAACTACAAGGTTGGTGGGGCAAGCCCAGCAGCCACTCTGCAAGAGAAAGATGAGGCTTTGTGCTTTCTCAAAGATTTCGAGCCTTGGAAACGCTATACAGGGCTGCTGTGAGTCGGAACAGATGACAGTGTTCAACAACATAGACAACATGTTGCATTAAAATGAACAAATAGTCAGCCCTGCTGCGTGATTTAAACAAAAAAGCCAACTGTACCTTGATTGTTGTTGTTAAGTACCGTCGAGTTGGTTCCAACCCATAGTGACCCTGTACAGGGTTTCTGAGGCTGTAAATCTTTACGGGAGCAGAAACTTTCATCTTTCTCCCACGAGGCAGCTGGTAGTTTCGAACTGCTGACCTTGTGGTTCACAGCCCGATTCGTAACCACTAAGCTACCAGAGCTCCTTTGATAGTGGTAGTTAATACTTGCATTAGAATTTTCTGTGGTTCATTTAAGTACCATTATTAACTTTAAAATTAGGTGATGTTGTTGTTGTTAAGTACCTTTGAGTTGGTTCCAACCCACAGCAACCCTGTATAAGTTTTCCGAGGAGTGGCTGGTGAGCTTGAACTACCGACCTTGCAGTTCAAATGGACTTTGTAGTCCAGCCATTCCCACAGTGACCCACCAGGTAAAGCAGGTAATTAATAGCATTGAAACAAGATTGCCTACTGGATACATGCAGAGTTATACTTTCTGAAGTTTGGTGTAAGTAAGTAGATACACAGCTAAATTGTACTGAGAACTCTTTCAGGGGGTTTGTATGTTCTGTGACATTGACTTTGTCATCTGATAAATCGAGGCCCTCCTATGTGTCAGTCATGGTTGTCTGTGGTAGGGACCCACCAGTGTACAGACCTGGCACCACCCCATGTGTTCCTGGAGCCAACATTGGGTAGCATTCAGTTGAGGCAGACAGTACACAAGGAACCAATCTGGTACGCCAGGTGGTGATACGATGATAAAAGAGAGGGGAGGAGGACAAGTGACCACCGGGGGGCAGGGTGTGTGTGTGTGTGTGTGTGTCTTATAGGACCAAGTGAGAGCAACGACTCATAAGGTGGGAGGAGGGTAGGGTTAGAAGGCTGGGGGGTGGGAGCGAGTGAGGGGTGGGAGAGGCGGGAGGAGCAGGGCACCCTGATCACCTAGAGCTTCTCAGGTCTTTGCAGAAAATGGGATGGAAAAGGTTATGAAGTTAAAAAGCAATTTAAAGAGAGAGTCTTGGGGAATGTGTGGCCTCGGGCCAGTCACCTGTGCTTTGTAGCAGTTAGGGTTGGGCTTCAGGTCCAAAAGGCCATTCATGTAAGCTGCAAGGAGTCATTCTGAAGATCTAGATGGACAGTCAGCCAAGGAACCGTGGTACCACAGTAGTTAAGTGCTCAGCGGCTAAACAAAAGGTTGGCAGTTCAAACCTACCTACCCAGTGGCTCCCCCAGAGAACGCCGTAGCAGTATGTATGTAACCTAGAAAGCCACAGAGCACGGTTCTAGTCTGTCACACAATGTCACTGTGAGTTGGGATCGAGGGGTGACAAGTAACCACAATAATAGGAGCACAGTCTTCTATCAATTATAAAGAAAACTGGCAAATACTTTGTTGTTAAGTGCCATCGAGTCGGTTCCAACTCACGGTGCCCCTGTAGAGGATTTCCGAGGAGCGGTTGGCGGGATTTGAACCACCGACCTTATGGTTAACAGTCTAGTGCTGATCCTAAGCGCCACACCAGAACTCCAGGTATTAGAAGTATGCGTTGTTCCCCATGAGTAGGGAGGATTTCGAGATGGTCACCTACACCTGTAGGTGGGCTAGGCCCATGGCAGCTTCTCACGGTCCGTCTCTGTTTCGTTAAGGTGTCTGTTTGCTTTTCCACAGCAAAGTTTATATGGACTTCAATTCGACCACTCCCCTGGAACTGGAAGTCATCCGCACCATAACGAAGACCATGCATGAAGCGTGGATGAACCCCAGCTCTTCTTACCCTGCAGGTAATTTGAGAGGGAGCCCACATGCTCAGAGACACCCACACCATCATTTTGTTTCTGGTGACGTCAGATCCTTAGCCGTAATTTTTGGTAGTTTTTATCCTGAGGAGTCCAGTTTTGTAAGTTGAGCTTTGCTTATACAGGTGTGTGTCACTCAACCTCCACAATGTGCTCTGTGAAATAAGATGTTATATGATTTGGATGTGGTGCGAACACCGTATTATACACGTGTTGTTATTAGGTGCCATCGAGTCGGTTCTGACTTATAGCTACCTCATGCACACAGAACACAGCGCTACCCAGTCCTACGCCAGCCTCACCATCGTTGTCACACTTGAGCCCATTTCTGCTGCCACTGTGCCAGTCCATCTCACTGGAGGGCTTCCTCTCTTTTGCTGACCCTCCAATTTACCAAGCATAATATTTCCTTCTCCAGAGATTGGTCCCGCCTGATACTTGTCCAAAGTATGAGAGAGGGGCTTTTAAAATGTTCGTGGGATATGGAATTAAAAGGTACTGGAATTGTTCCGTGGCCTTTTTGAAGCCTCCCCCTATAGTACGTTCGTTTATATATATTCAATCTACGTGTGTCCCAGTAACCCCCTTGCAAGCTGCTCTGGCTCTCTGATAGTGCCCGGAACCTGGAACTTTGCAAACTTGTCCCTGCAGTGGACTAGCTGTGAGTACACCGGGCTCTCTGAGCAGCCTGGTCAGAATAGAAGCCCCAAGGGACAAGGAGAGTGGCCACAGCCCAGCAACTTCCCACAGGCACCAACCACAGAGTGGCTAAGCAGGGCATGGGCCAGTGGCAATCGTGGGAACCGCAACGACGAAGCACCACACACTCAATGTGCAGGCCCACTGGGTGCCCTGCCAAACAAGCCCCCTGATTCCTGCCCGAATAGGTGGACTTGATGCCGTGCATCCTTGTACGCCGCCCATTCTCCTGGCTCCCTCACCCTGGTGAAGAGTTACTTTAGAATCCAATACTGAGGTGGCGCTGTTAGATCATCCGAGGCTGCTAACTAAGATCAAATCCACCAGCTGCTCCTCAGAAACTTGATACCAGGTCACTGCAAGTCACTGCAAGTCGGAACCAACTCAACAATACAACAGTATTAGAATTATAGACTTATCTCAGTCAGTCCTTATAAAATTTGCAAAATACTAACTTTTAGATTACCATCATCAGGATCATATATAATCCTGGTGGTAGTGGCTTTAGTAAACACTGTCTTTAAATTCTTTATGTACTTTAGTTATAATTGTAAATATCCTTACTTGTTTCTAATGTAGTCTTGTTATAAAACAATGTATTTAATGTTAATTTAAAACATTCAATCAAGCATTCAGTAAAAGCGTGTTTTGCGTAATTCAGTATTCAAGAGTGTTTTGCATAATTCAGTCATCGGATGGCAGAGTTCTTGTATGGGTTTCTGCAGGTTAGACTCTGGAACCTAAGAGCCTTTCTTTCTTACAGAATGTTTATTAGTTTATTAGGGATAATCAAGATAAACGATCACACCTGTGGATTATAATGACTTACATGAGCATCTCAGCAGGTCCTGCCAAGCCCTCAGACTCCATATTACCTCTGTACAACTTCAAAGCTTCTAAAGGGCTTTCAGATCCAGTTGCTCATGAAAAGTTTCTCTGCAACTTGATAAAGTAAGGTTTTTCGCAATCAGCTACTATCCATCCATTCATGAGCTTGTTGGTTTCTTTGGCACAAATGTATTCTGGCTAACCTTTTGGACATTGCCTAGAATCTAATCTCTTCTCCAGTCAGATTGAGTTTTTGATACATTAAACTTGGAACTATAAAAACCAATTGAATGCTAATAAAAAGCATTTTGTCATAAAGGAGTTTGTGATTCATACTCACGAAGAAACAAAACCCTATCACTGTCTCCTGGCAGCCGTTGTTTTCTTAAATTAGGAACCAGAGCTTAGAAGGAAAGCATCCCGGAGACTTCTTCGTGCTCAGGTGTGGTGGAGTTAAGTGCCGTCGAGTCTATTCTGGCTCATAGCAGCCCTGTATCAGGTTTCCAAGGCCCTAGCTGGTGGGTTTGCGCCACTGGCCTTGCGGTTGGTGCTTCTCCTACAGTGCCACCTCATATACAGGTAGAAATGCCAAAAGGAAAGAACATCCCCTTTACGACGTTGTTAAGTGTACTGGAGTCAGTTCAGACTCAGAGCAACCGCGTGAAGGATCGCTGAGGCTGTAAGTCTTTGCAGGAGCAGAAAGTCTCATCTTTCTCCTGCAGAGTGGCTGGTGGGCTTGAACCAGCAGCCTTGTGGTTCACAGTCCAGTGCTTACCCTAAAGACCCACCACGCTCCCCGTTCTTATAGTAGAATGGTTTATAAAGGTAGGGGTTTTGTGCTGTGGAATCAGTTATGACTCATAACGACCCAGCAAAGGCTTTTGAAGTTGTAAATCTTTATGGGAGCAGAAAATCTCACCATTCGCCCACGGAACAACTGGTAGTTTCGAACTAGTCACTTTGAGGTTAGCAGTCCGACTCCTAACTACTATACTACCAGAGCTCCTGGTTTTTAATAGGATTATTTCATTCCTTTCATAATATGATGATTTAAAGTTCTTGGGGAGAGTTTGTTTTAAGGGAAATGTTAAGGATGTGTGGGGAACGATTTTAGATGATGTTTATCACAAGCTTGGTCATAATAGAAAAATCAACCCCACAAAGAGTGGCAGTAAGCACTGTGCTCGTTGGTAGAGGCCGGTCATGTAACGTGGGGTGGAGTCCGTGGGGATCCTCTGGGCCCTAGTGCTGTGGACTGTCCCCACCACGCACACAGTCTCAGCATCTGATTCAAGTGAATAGGTGCGTTATAAAACAGGCTATATGTGATGTGGTTTCAGTTTACCTCCTCTCCCACCTCCACCTCCACCTCCTAAAGACAAAAACTGTATATGTGGAAAGTGTGGAAAATAGCATTTCCTTTTGTTGTGAAAGGCAGAGAAACCTATTAACTGTGGCCTAAACCGCTTGATGTTTCTTTCTCTCACAGTCCAGGCCCCATGGGGGCTCTACCTTTATCAAAGCCTTCAGCTCGCCTGTCTGAGTGCTTTTTCCTCCTCAGCACACAGCTTCCTCATGGGGTCAAGATGGCTGTTCGAGCTCGAACCATCATGTCTGCATTCCAGGATGTAGGAAGGAGAGAAAGAGGAAGCAGACTGTGTACCCTGGTCATTCAGGGACACTTGTGTGAGTTGCATGAACCCCAGGTCTGTCTGGTGGTCTTATATAATAGAAGTTGGGAATGCAAACCCCACTGCTGTATAGTGGCTTCGCAGTCATAGGACCCTGTTGGACCAAGTAGACCTGCCCCGAGGGTCTCCAAGGCTGTGCGCATCTTTACGGGAGCCGACTGCCACATGCCTCCCACAGAGCAGCTGGGCGGTGCAAACCTTTTGGTTAGGAGCCCAATGCTTAGCCCACTGCACCACCAGCCTCTTCATTCCGGGCAGTTGTTCACCAGCTGGAAGTGAGGGCTTATCATCGTGGCAGGAAGGGAGGACAGGCAGACACATGCCAGGTACGCTCCCAGCCTTTACTTCGAGAAGGGCCTTGTGGGAGGTCATCGAGTGTTTTCTTGTTTTGAGTCTTCCTATAATCACTGTTGCAAGGTCAGGTTAAACCACAAGATTGGTGGTTTGAACTCACCAGCCGCTCTTTGGAAACCCTAGACAGGGTCGCTGTGAGTTGGAATCAGCTCCATGGCACACAACAACAACATAATCATTGGAGGATAAACTCTGGTTTGCTAACCCCAGCGTCACAATTCAAACCCATCAGCTGCTCCTCGAAAACCCTAGACCAGGCCGCTCTGACTTGGAATCAACTCGATGACACGTAACAGTAACAATGTCATCACCATGCACACTGTAAGGAAAAAAAAAGTTTACTAAAACCAAGATTTTGAAAATATCAATTGTAAGTAAATGAAAAGAGCCCCCAGAAGGTTGTGTCTAGAAGTCTCCCCCTTCTGTAGCAGGAGTGACTTGGGGTGAGTGTTCAACAGCCATTCAATACATTTATGTTCTTGGGCTTCACGGGTCTCTATCCTTGCAGCAGTGTGGACAATGCGCATTACAGGAAAGCAGGGGAGTTTATCGTTCACCTCAGCAGCCTCTGAGCATACTCAGTACAGAAACCTGTAGAGTTCAAATGGAAACTCTGGTCCCTTTTGACATATGTGTATACTTACGGATCGGGCCTCAAGGTCAGAAGTTCGAAACTACCAGCTGTTCCGTGGGAGAAAGATGAGGCTTTCTGCTCCGGTAAAGATTTCCAGCCTCGGAAACCCTGTGTAGGGTCGCTATGGGTCGGAACCAACTCCATGGCACATAACAACAACAACAACAAGCTCTACCCTGAAACCATGTCTGCAGTGCAGGTAGCCAACATTCCCATCACTCCCCTAAGTTTCCTGGAGCCCCTGCCAACTCCCAGGTAAGCACTAGTGTGCTTTCTGTCACTGGATTAGTGTGTGTATGTTTTGCAGGTTTTTAGACAAATGGAATCATACAGCACATCTTATTTACCTGGCTTCTCTCTCTCCACTGAACTATTTGGTTTCATCCATGTTGTCGGGCATCTCAGTTCCTTTCTTCTTTTTATTGAGTGCAATCTGTTGGGTGCTGCGCAGTGTTAACACACTCAGCTGCTAACTGAAAAGTTGGAGGTTCACATCCACCCAGAGGCACCTCAGAAGAAAGATCCAGCAATCTACATCCAAAAACTCTGCCAGTGAAAGCCTTCAGGAGCACAGTGCACTCTGACACATGGACATTAGAGCTATTTACAGGTTTTGGTGGGTGGTTGTTGTTATAAATGATGCTGCTATGAATATTTATGCACAAGTCTTTAGATGGACTGCTTTTTTCCCTTCTTGGGTAAATCATATTGACTATAAATACCCAGGAGTGGCATGACTGGTTCAGACGGCAGGAAACCACTGTTTTCCAGACTTAGTGGGCCACTAGAGGCTACAGGAACCCCCCAAGCTATCACCCTTTAAACTTTGTATTGAAACCACACCCAGAAGTCTCTTTTCAGCAAAATAACAGATTGGCTCATAAAGTAAGCAAGATCACCCGTGTGAGTACTGGGCTCCCATAAAAATGTCATCTATATGAGACCAAGTGGTCAACATTTGCTGTAAAGCAAAGATGAGGTGAGTTGGTGGTGGGCAGGGAAGCTAGATTAACATAAACAGAACAACCAGAAAATAAAGAATGAGAATATTGACATGTTGGGGAAACGGTAACTAATGTCACCCAACAATATGTATGTTGTCGTTCAGTATTGATGAGTCAGTTCCAACCGTAGGGTTTCCAAGGCTGTAACCCTTTTCATTGTTAAATGGGAACCGGATTTGCTATACAAAATTTTACCTAAAGCACAAGAAAATATTATTTAAAAAAGAGAAACAGCTATTTTACATTTCCACTGGCAGAATACGACAGTTGCGTTTCCTCGACATCTTTCCCATCACTTGGAATAGTCGGTCTTCGTTATTATCATTCAGAAACCCCGTACAGGATCACTAGGAGTCAGAATCGACTCGGATCCTAAGAACAACAGGAGGTCTATAAGCAGTGGTGGTGACGCTCTGTGTTAGGCACTGGGCTGCTAACCACAGGGTCCGCAGTTTGCACCCACCAGCTGCTTCCTGGGAGAACAATGAGGCTGACTGCCCCGAACATCTCTTGTCTCGGCAACGCTACGTAGGGTCTCTTGTTGGCAGTGGGCTTAGTCTGTAGACTAGGCATGCAGTGATAGTGAGGCGGCTCTAGCTTCCTTACTTCAAAAGCTCTCCAAGGTTTATTGATAAATGGAAAAAAGAAGTTATTGTCAGCAGTGTGTAAACTATAAAACCTATTTATGCAAACACTGTGTGTGTGCAGCTGTGTCACTGGTAGACTGGAAGCATCAGGAACAGTACACAACCACTGACCGCGGTGATCGGAGCAGAAGGTGAATGGAGCAGGGAGAGGCTTCAGCCGATGGCTTCTCAGTGGGCACTGGGGCTGAGGGAACATTGAAAAAATGAGACTGAGTCCGGTGGACAGAATTTAAGCCACATTCAAGTGGAGCTAATAGCATGTACCTTAAATAATTGACAGTTTTACAGCACTGCTTTTATTAGGACTATGCTTACCTGGGAGCCCTGGCATGGCAATGTGGGCTAATGGGCTGGACCTCAAAGTCAGTTTGAATCACAAGGTTGGCAGCTCAAGCTCATCATCTGCTCCTTGGAAACCCTAGACAGGGTCGCTATGAGTCGAAACGGACTCGAACAACAACATATATGTGTATGTGTGTGTGTGTGTGTTTATATATACATACTATGTGTATGTAGGAATCCTCGTGTGGCACTGTGGGTTAATGCACTGGACCACAAGGTTGGTTTGAACCTCAAAGTTGGCAGTTCAGGCTCACCCAACCACTCCTTGGAAACCCTGTACAGGGTCACTATGTTTCGGAACCAACTCGACAGCACTTAACAACAACAAGGCTTACCTGGACACCATCACTGCCTGTCATTAAAATCTATACAATGGCTTTTTTTTTAAAAAAAAAGTTTTTATGGTGCAATTGGGTGAAGGGTTAGAGAGCAAATCCGTTTTACGTTCAGCCATTTGCACGTATTTTGTTTCACATCATGGATTGCAGTCCTCACAGTGTAACATTGCTCCTCCCACCTCCTCCCGTGTTCCCCATTCCCTAACCCTTCCTGCCCTGTACAGCCATCTGAGGGGTGTGAGTATTGTTACCCATGTTTATTTCTGTCTCAGCCATGTACATTTTTATGTAGGTTCTATGTTGTTGTTGGGTTCCATGGAGTCAGTTCCAACTCAGTGACCCTGTTTCCAAGAAGCAGCTGGTGAGCTTGAACCACAGACCTTGCAGTCCAGCACATTAACCCGCAGAGGTGGCAATGCTAATAAATTTCCCTTTTGTCCCTCAAGGTAGAAAAGCCAAGGATATTATAAACACAGCTCGGGAAAACCTTGCGAAGATGATAGGTGGGAAACCGCAAGACATCATCTTCACATCTGGGGGCACAGAGGTAATATTGCTAAACAGAGTCTCAGGTTTGTTTTGCTGTAAATTATAATAAAAAAAAAAGAACTTTTTTTTTTTTTTTAATGACGTAATTGTGCTTGGTCTTTTGGTCTTATTATTTTGAAAGTCCTTTTAATATATTGGACTCCTGGTGTGGCGCTGTAGGATCAGCACTGGACTTCGAGCCACAAGTTTGGCAGTTCAAACCTACCAGCCGCCTCTCAGAAACCCTTTACAGGGTCGCTATGAGTTGGAACTAACTCGACAACACTTAACAACAGCAACAGCTCGATATATTTAATAACCTTTTATCTTATCATTAAATTCTGAGTGATCTTAGGGTGTTTGTAACATAATATGTGCGTTACCGTGCTATGCATTGTTAGTTCAATAAAGAAAGTCTCGTTTTCATGGTTGCCCTAGAATCATTCCTTTGAATTCCTACTAACAGTTTGAGGTTTGACCCACCCAAAGGTGTTGACTTCTTAAATTGGTAGGCGATCCTTGAAGGCCATGGGGGCACTGTGGCCTCTGCTCAGTGACACACTCTGCCTCTCGTTTCCGGGCTGGAACCCAAGGAACAACTGTCAGCCACATGGAAAACTCAAAATCTGCAGCTAGACTCCTAGAGTTTATAAACAAATGTGACCAAACATTGAGTTACAAACACCACTTGTGGTTTTCTGTACCTACAATAAGCACATCAAAAGCTATGCAGTACTGAGGAAGTCAATCAAGTGAAATTTAAACTGTGTAAAGTTAGACATACTACGAAGAGATTTCAAAGATCTAGGTAAATGGAGTGGTAGACCATGTTCAGACTCACTCCTGATGTGGCCTATAGGACCAGCACTGGACTGCAAACCACCAGACCTGCAGTTCAAACCCATCCGCTGCTCCTTGGAAACCCTGACCAGGGTCATTATGAGTCAGAACCAACTCAGCGGCACTTAACGACAACATACCATGTTCATGGGTCCGAAGACTCAATATTATAAATACGTTCCTTCTTTCCACATTGATCTGTCCAGATTCAGTGCAACCCCTATTGAAATGCTGGTACTTTTCAGTTCAGTCTTACACACTGATTTATGTGGAAATAGAAAAGCCAAGACTAGGCATGCCTTCTTAAAGGCTAAGAACACAATGAGAGGGCTTTTACAAAGTGCTACTAATGAAGACAGGGTGGGTTGGTGCAAGGATGGGCAGGAGACCAGAAACAGAGTCTTGCTCGTGTGGGCACTTGCCCTATGACAAGAGTGACCACGTGTCCAGCACACGTCTGTTGTCTTAGATAGCTCTTCCACTCCCACATTTTCTGAGTCAAATGGGGGAGTGTTGTTGTTGTTAAGTGCCTTCGAGTCGGTTCCGACCCATAGCGACCCTGTACAGGGTTTCCGAGGGTATAAATCCTTACGGGAGTAGAAAGCCTCATCTTTCTCCCGCGGAGCAGCTGGTAGTTTCGAACTGCTGACCTTATGGTTCGCAGCCCGATTCGTAACCACTACGCTACCAGGGTGGTTATTAAGTCGTCACCTCTGACTGAGGTAGCACAATGGAGTAGGGAGAAAATAAGTTCTCAATGAGTGGTCCAGCTGAATATTCATACCGAAAAATGGGAATTACTACTTCACAACATCCATAAAACCCTTTTTCTTTCCTGATGTAATAAAGTCCTAAATATGAAAGGTAAAATTTATAAAGCTTTTAGGAGAGGAAGTAAGTTAGTGTCTTCCTGATGTTTAAAAGTGACAGTTTTCTTAAATAAAACACCGAACACATTAACCATGAAAGCAGAGATTGACAAACTCAACAACAACAACTAAACACCAAATTTCAGCTCATGAAAGGACACAAGAGGAAAACAAAAGCACAGAGTAGAGAGAGGGAGAAGGCTAGTGGTCAAGACTGAGCATCCTCAACATACAGGAAGTCCTACCGGTCACGCAGGGGCAGGGGAGCCAACAGAAAAGGGCTGAGGGACTGGAAGAGGCGCGTCACCAAAATAAGCTCAAAGCTTTCAACATATGAAAAGATCGGTCTGGTAAGAATCTGAGCATGCTACCATGGAACACCTGAACACACCCATCCGAATGGTGAATAGGTGAGCCCATGGCTACTCGGTACTAACAGGCGCAGGGCACTGGACGCTCAGGTGCTGCTGGGAAGGAACATCGGAAAAGTGTTTGCCAAACAGTTTGGTGGTATCTGGTGAGCTGCTAAAACTTGCTGGGAAGTCATATCCTTTAGGGTAAGGTAGGGCCGCCCATGGGGTTTCCAAGGCTGTCGTCTTTCCAGAAGAACACTGCCACATCTGTCTCCCGCAGAGCAGCTGGGGGTTCATACCTGCCCACCCTGTAGTCTCCCCCATTAGGTGTCTGTCCTGGAGTGTGAGGCACAACTGTGTCAATGTGGACATGAGTGTGTTTGTAATGGCATTGTTCATAATAGCTCAAAACTGAAGCCGACCCAAAGATCGCTCCAAAGAGCCTATGAACTTCCAGAGTAGCTCTGTGACCTCAGGTGCCCAATCACTGACTCAATACCCTAGGACCTCAGCCCTCTACCTCTGGAGGATGAGCCCCCTCAACCCCAGCTTCCCATGGTTCCCTCGTGGTCTGTCTAGAGCCAGGTGCTGTGGCGTGGCGTGGCGTGTCATGGCTGGGGTATCGGAGGGTAGTACTGCCATCACCGGACTTGGTGCAGACAGTGGACTTTGTCTGTCAGAGTGCAGTCCTGGGGCTTGACCTCAGCTCCCCAGATGGATAAGGACCTGCAGCCCAGTGGTGGGCCTAACCCATGTTCACGGTCACCTGGACCATATGCTACACCACCGTCCACCATGACCAGTGGTGTGCAGCCCCACACATCCCCTGTCCTGTCCAAGGACCCTGTCCAATGGGACTGCAGAAGGCTCCCAGGTACAGGGGGCCTACAGCCCCATCTCCCGGTCTGAGACCCAGCGGGCTAGGCATCAGAGTTATCTACAAGGGCACGACCTGGCCTTGGTCAAGAGTCATCCACCTTTTGGAGAAGCAAATCTGAACTGTCCACTTCTCCACTTTAATTTAACTTGATGTGTCTCAGTGCTGATGAAGCATTGTGTGGTCTTCCTCAGTCCTCCCTCAGGGGGTATCGTTCAATGCCCACGATGTTTTAAGCCTTCTGAACGCAGCGTAGTGTCTGTGAATGGCTCATAGCACGCCAGGCACGGTAGGATGACTCCAAGCCAGGTGTGAATGAGGGACTCAGTATAAGGCTGGTGAGGGACCCAGGGCAGTGTAAGAAGCCATCTGGAAGAGACGACGCTGTGGAATGTTTTCAGGTACTTGAATAGACCAAATCAACTGAGGGAAAATAAGGCAAAGTAACCTGAATTAAGGCTACGATCTCTGGTAGCGTAGTGGTTGCAGGTTGGGCTGCGAACCTCAAGGTCAGCAGTTTGAAACTACCAGCTAGCTGTTCCATGGGAGTAAGTTGAGGCTTTCTGCTTCCATAAAGATGCTTTTTATGAGTCGGAACTGATTCCACAGCACACAACCACCACCACCACCACCACATAGGCTGCTGGTTCGAGCCCACCAGCCACTCTGAAAGAAAGATGAGACTGTAAGAGGCACGTCACAAAAAATCTTCATGTTCCTACAAAGATTTACAGCCTTGGAGACCCTATACAGGGTCACTACGAGTTGGAACCAACTTGATGGCACTTAACGACAACAATATCCAAAGTAAAAGCATATTTTAAATAAAATGAAGAAAGGAAAAAAACCCCCACAGGGATTGCTGTTGAATGATGATGCATGAGGGGATTGAAATCATTGCAATGAAACGAAATATGCGATAGGATGAATGTAAAGCTGATGCTCTCCCATGTAAACTGTCACTCAATTCATAATAATAATGTAAAACATCAAATGAAGAACAAACAAATCTGTTTTAGAAGAAATACAATCAGAATGTTTTCTTAGAGGCAAGGATGGTGAGGCTTCAGCTGACTTACTTTGGCCACCGGGAAAGACCAGGTCTAGCAAAGGAAGCTCATGTTTGGTAGAGTCAGGGAAAATGAACCCTCAGTGAGATTGCTGTTAAGTGCAGTCGAGTCGGTTCTGACTCATAGTGACTCTCTATAGGGTTTCCAAGGAGCGGCTGGTGAGCTTGAACGGCCGCCCTTGTTGTCAGTGAGGTGGAGGGATACAGTAATCACCACAGTGGCCTCAGACACACGAACAATCATGAAGACGGTGCAGGGCTAGGCAATGTTTTGTTCTGTGAAACATTAGGTCACCGTGAAAGTTGGAAACCCCCAAACCTTTGTCCTTTCAAAAGATGATGCGTAGGGACTTGGATTTGAGGCTCTCTTGGTCTTGTTTAATGTCGACCACACAAGAAAGTACAAACGAGAGACTCTGTTCTAACTCCTGGGACAGTTTCCATAAATGCTTTTTCTGCTGTCTCTCTCTCTCTCTCTGCAGTCAAATAATTTAGTGATCCATTCTGTGGTGGAGGATTTCTACAAACACCAGCCCAGGAAAGAGGATGGGCTTCAACCTCAGCCCCAGGGTTCTGGGGCCAAGCCACACTTCATCACCTGCACGGTGGAACATGACTCTATCCGCCTCCCCCTGGAGCACCTGCAGGAGGAAGGCATGGCTGGTGAGTGGAGGCCAGGCCTGGGATCCACCTGGGAGACGAAGGGGCTGTGGGGCTGTGACTCCAGACCATAGCCTGTTCCTGCACTCCCCCAGACTCACGACACTGTGTGGACAGAGCTGCCCATGGGGCTTATGAATAATTCACCTCCAGCTTTTTGTCATTGTTAAGTGCCGTGGAGTCGGTTTCGGCATAGTGACCCTGTATAGGGTTTCTGAGGAGCAGTTGGTGATCTTGAACTGCCGACTTTGCAGTTCAAACCAACCTCCAGCTAGCAGACCTAAAAATCCCAAGGAGAGGTATTCAGGTCAAACTCACAATAACAGGCTTATCTGCTCTGTCTCTAAGGAAACCAGGGGACGGGGCAAACTGTGGCAGTTTTTGGAAAGAATGCTTTTGCACCAGCTGCCCTGTCCTTGAAAGATGATGGGGACCATTTTTAAAAATGCTTGGGCGGACTGCCTCCAGGACATCTGTAGCTTAAGTGACGTCTGACTAATGGTTACTGATTCCCAAAACAACTTCTTTATAAAAAGTCCTTCTCCCTTTCCATACTGGGGAGCCCTGAGTAATCTCACTATGTGCTGCCCAACTGCACTTGTTAGAATTCCTTAATAAAATTCCTCCTCCACTCGTAACTGTGTAAGATTTTAGTTTTGGACATATTTGGTGTCCAAAGGGGAATTTCAAAGGTGTATTCTCTCTAATGACCCCGAGAGATCAATGACGGGCTTTGGTGACAGCTGAGCTGTTTAGACCCTGCACTTTGACCTCTCAGGGGTTGCGTTGAGGTAAATAACCTCCTCAGTCTAAGCTCTGCTCCCTTTGCATTGCAGCTCTTCAGGTTTTATTGAAAGATTTGTTTTGGTTTTTTTTTTTGTTTTAAGTTTTCATTGTGAGCTGAGTGATAGTTTACATAGGAGAACATCGGCTTTAACAGTCAAAGGACACATTCTGCAAGCCAGCCTCCTGGCCCCCAGCACCTAGTCCCTCTCCTTCCATGAGTCCAGAGTCCTCAGCTGCTCCCTCTCTCCCTGTCCCCATCTCTGCCTCCATCTCTGGTGTCGCTGCTTCTCTGGATAAGGTGCCGCATTCCACTTGTGCTCTTCTCCCTTGATGATCCTAGGGTCCTCTGTTTCTGGACTGTAAGATTAACTACTCCCCCATTTTTGTTACAAAACTTCTACCTTTACAGTTGTGACAGTTGCTATTAGTCAGATAACAATTACTCACTATTGAATCATAAGAATCTTATCTTCATCTCTCTTAACCAGACCCATCTAGACAAGATGAAAACTATTCAGTGGGGACTCTATCATACCCCAACACACTATTAAACTAAACTCCCTTCTAAAACCTTGTAAGCCAGTCACTTCATGCCTTTATCGCCCCCTCATTTTAGGTAGCCAATGTCTAAGTTGCCCGTCCCTATCTACCATGTATACAGAGGGATAGCACTGATATTTGATGTGAAGACTCCTTCCCTCCCAGTTGGTATTTTGAGCTACTGTATAAGTATAGGGCAAGTTCATTAAAGTGAAGCGATTTACACTTGTTTCCTTTTGAAGGATTTGTTTTGCTCTTACAAGTAAGTCTTATAGTTTGGAAAGCTCAGGGTTCATTTTGAGGTTCTTTGGGCCTGCTCAGTAAACTCAAGAACTGAGGCTCCCAGTGAGAAACACGCAGTGACATGCCTGTCTTGTGCTGTTTGAACATAGACGCTACAGTCTATGTTAAATGTGTTAACAAGCATATTTGTTTTCTCGCCATTTAGGAGGTTAGAAGTCCAAATCCAGAGTGCCTACCAGCTGTAGGCCAAGACGGCCTCGCTTTGTTGGCTCCGGGGAGAGGCCCTGTTCTTTCCACATCTGCAGGCCCAGCATTCCGTGCAGATCTCATGTGTCTTGGTGTCAGTCTTCCCCTGGTCAGAGGAGCATCACAGTGCAGGGACTTCGGCTCCAAAGGATGCCCTCCACTCCTGGCTCCTCTTTCTTGGTGATAATGTTGTTGTTGTTGTT